CTTTTTGTCTTTTTCCGTGTCCGGCAACGGATCGCAACCCTCAGTGTTGCCCCCGTACGGGACCGGGGACCGGCAACGGGATTGCAACCCTCGGTGTTGCTCCCGCGCCTCACTCAGCCAGTGAGCGGGAACCGGTCTGTATGTGGGATCCGAACCTTCGGGCGGGAGTGCCGCCGCGCTTCCCAAGCGGCGCACTTATCCAGTGCACCACCGGGCTGGCCCGAAGGAGAAGATCTTAAAATAATAACTGACCTCCAAGCCCAGGTCTCAGCCGGTTGTCATAGCCATCCAGAAGACGATCCAAGATTCTGGTGAAGATAGTGATGTTGTCGGTGCTGTCATCAGGAATATCTGGGGCATGCTTAGGAGAGAGTCTGAGACAGTGCGGGAAAATAGAAGAAAAATAATCATTCTTAATAAGAAACAATTACATGTCTAAACATTTTAATTCAAGAAGATTTCAAAGAATAGACTGGGCCAATCAAATAGCCTTCTGTCTTAACCAAAACAGCAAGTACTTTCTATTTGTCACAATGATTGCCTTTGTAGGAGGCACAGTGGTCAGTATTTGAGCTCTTATTCCAGAATTGGGATAAGCTTTACCAGGCATATGTTTTAGCTCCATTTAAGTAGTGGAGAGACACAAGCAGAAATCCTGGACAGAACCGATAATAGTACCTGGCATATAGTTGATTCATCAAATTTTGTTGCATGAATGAACAGGCCTCAAAATAAAAAAGAAAAATGTTGTTAATGAGAACTTACCTCTCTTCTGGCCCAAAGAAACAAGTTCACAGAGCAATAGACCCTTGTATTGCCTCTAGTTTACCCCAGTCCTTCAAAAGACATGCATGTTTAGGCTATGGGACAAAGTCAAGCTCATTGACCATCTAGAGATTAAGTGCAGGACGCTGGCAGTAACAATATTAGCTCAACAGCCTCATCGAGGACCCCAGTGTGTTCATGTTAGGGGAAACAGGAGAGGCACAGATTTGGAGTTGCGGATGCAGTTCATACAACAACCCAAAGAGAAGAGAAAAGACGTTTTTCCTAATAGTGCGTATCCTCAGGGAGAGAACAGATTTTTAAAAACAAATAAAATTCCAAATTTCTGTGTAGATCCTGTATCTGTGCTGCTCACAAACCTTTCGTAACTCTTCACAGCTTAGCAAATAAAATTCCAACCCCTTAGCCTGACATTCATGGCCTTCTACAATCTGTTCCTACTATACTTTTACAGCCACAAATTCCACTACTTCTCTTTCTGGCCAGAAATCATAGCCAAATCAGATTAGTAACCATTTTCCAACATTCCCTATGTTTTCATTTCTCAAGCCCAGTCTTTACCGTAAGTGGAAAGGTCTAACTAAAGATTCAGCAGTATGGATGCTAGTTATATACTGGAGAGGGAATGAAAAACACCTGGAATTCAATAGCACCCACTCTAACATCATTACAGAAGCCACTTGAAGAAAAAACAAACACCCTGTGTTTTGTCGAGAATATGTCCAATCCATCTCAAAAGACAGCTGTTCCTTTCCGAAATAGCCTCCATAGACTGGTAATGAAACTAGAGAAGTAATAGCTTGAGACACACCCACTCAACATGTGCCCCACCTGTTCACACTAAATTTATTGCTGAGTTAAAGTGAAATAAAGAAGTCCTTCATGCCTTTTGAGTAACTGAAAACCACTGCTTTGCAAAAATGCACAGGAAGATTTAACTGGTATATAAGTGAATGATAAAATAACAAGGTACTAGATCTTAGAGACCTGATTCCATATACAAATGTAAGCAGACATGCTCCAACTTGAAATGTGACATGATCCAAAGTTTGCAAAGAATTAAGGGTACAGTCTTCATTTGCAACAGTGCCAAAAAGTGTAGCTACTTCACAGGCAAGACTATGCATGTTTATGATGCAAGTCTCATATTTCTCATAATTTATCTGAATGATTGTAACCATAGTACCAATGCATGAGCACCATTTCAGCAACATTTCTGGTTAAGTGGATTTTCATAGGCCAACCCGAGAATGATTTATAACACTGTCTACATGGAAAAAAGGGGAAACTACAGTACTAAGAACATTCTCTCCCCAGTTATGATTTTCTCCTTACTCCACACCATAGCCACGATCAAAGCAATGAGCTGGCCATCAGCTCAAAGCCTCTCAATCAGTCCTGGTGGCTGATATCCTTACAATGAAGAGTGCTGGCAATCATCTTCTTAACCAAGTAATCCAACTTAGCATCAGTAATACTGAGCAACTTTACCTCCTGACATTATGCAATAGGAAGTCACAGCATCACCTACGAAACGTACTTGATTCTGGCCTCAAACATCCACCCCTGTCCTGTGTCACAAATGCTACACTTCCACTTCAAAATGAAAAATGATAGGATCAAATGATGTTTCTTATTCCTTCAGGTTCTACAAGAAAATTGCACTTGCCCCATCTTAGCACAGTCCATCCATCCATGTGGCTGAGATATGAAGCATTTAGAGATTGAGAGATTACTATACTATGGTACTTCAAAGTTCATGGAAAAATAAAATTAAAAGATAATATGAATCTCTCCATGAACTTTTTGAAGGACCCAAGTATATAAGTATATGCTTATGTACATAAAAGAAATGAAGATGTGCTTAGCTCTTACTTAAAAGTGAATATAAGGCCAATGCACTGTGCAACCTTTGTTACTGAAATAAGAGGTACACTGTAGTGGTTGATAGCGTGGACTCTGGAGCCAGACTCTCTCAGATTTAGTCCTAGCTCTGCCACTTTCTAGTCATGTGAGTTTTGACACATAAAATATGTGTCTCCATATTTTATCTGTAAAACAGGGATAATAACATCACTTAGCCAACAGTTCTGTTATCAGGATTATATGAATTAACATATATAAAGCACTTAGAATAGTGCTTGGTACTATTTATATAGTAAAAGCTATATAAATATAAAGTTTAAACTAACATGATGGAACATGAAAATTATAAATAAGTATAAACTCTTAAATTGAGTTTCAAAATACCCAATTAGAGAACAAAGGAGAGTGTGCAGTTTGAATTGAAGCAATGTCTGGAAAACCATACTATATCAGGAGAATAGTTGAAAGAAATGAGTTAGCCTGCAGAAAAGAAGAATGGTGTAGATCTGATAGCTATTATGTGGAAAAGGAAGCTAATGTTACAGGAGCCTATATCTGTAGGCATTAGAAGAAGGTTTGCTTCAGTTCAATGGGAAGCACTTTCCAACCTCCAGAGCCCTGCCCTGTGGTAGCAACACAGCTTATCACTGGAGAGATTCAAACTGGCAGATCAAGCATCAAGCATAATGCAAGGTAGGAGCCTAGAGACTGACAGCCTCTCATGTCCTACATCTGGTTCTGAAAAATGTAAGATTTGATCATCAAATGCTAAGAGTATTGATGCATTGATTCAACAACAGACATTGCATGTAAATGGAAGAAACTGGATTTTTCATACTTATACTTCAAATCACAGTAAATACACGTGTGGTTACAGTTGTCAGTTTATGCTGAGATTAAGAGGACTGAGAATATACCTTTCAAGATGGATATAGACATTTACAAGGACGGACGCTTTTGGTACAGTGGCACCAAGTCAGGCTGTGAATGTGACGAGGAAACAGGCAACTCCCCAACCATTTCCTCTTCAGTTTACAGCATTGGCTCTCACCACTGCCACCGCCACAAAATCATGATGCAGAAAAAGTGTTAATATTGTGCCTCATCCTTCCAAAAATCATGGTCTTCACTCTATTCTTAAATGTGTAAATACGAGGCCTTGTGCCAAATGTCTTTCATTTGCCCTTCCAAATATATTCTCCACTGTTTTCCACTCTATTCTCTTTCCTAGAAGGCTGACATGTATGAACTACATCAACAGGGATCCCCTGGTCTCTGCTTTCAACTTGAGTTTGGCCAGCTTGGCTGAAAATCAGAGAAAGAAGAATACAAAAGTCTGGACATGTAATTTCCTGGCTCTTTCCCTATGAAATCTTCTTAGGCTGGCTATTTCCTCTACTAAAGGTCTCTGTACCTCTTAAGAAAACTTCTCTAATATGATATGCCTGCTGCAAGCATTAAGTTCTTGCTCTATTCCTTGTGGTTTCCCTACCTAGACAATAACTTTATGATTAGTTTCTTTGCAAATCCATCCTCCTCAAATAATTTTAATTGAAATGTCCCATCTGTATTCTTTGGAATCCTGACTGATTCAACAAAGTGCAGACAGACCTGGACAGAGGATCCATTTGGCACTTGCTTCTTAGGCACTTACTTGTCAACACATTATGAATTGCTTTTCCATGTTTGCTAAGGTTCCAGAATCCCATATCCCTAACCATACTGTTAGTTCCTTGAAAACAGGGACTGTGTCCCTAAAATATTGACCATCAGAATCATCTGGAGCACTTGATAAAATGCAGATTGTTAGGCACTATCTCCAGAGCTACTAAATCACAATCTTCAGATGTGGAGCCTGCTTTCTTGCTTACTCATGCTGAACACTGAGAACCATGGCATCTAACTGATTGTTGAAGTTGCTGGGGCAGCCAACCCAGGTGATTTAATTGAATAAACCACTAAAGGTGGATAAAATAATGCAGCAAATAGATTTTTTCAACAAACAAAAACATAATTCAGAAGGTGTGAAACCAAGCAAGGTATGAAAGCAAGCAAACAAAAAGAAGCATGCCAAGTGTCAGAATTATCAAAACATGCCATTTTAAAGTTTTATTGGTTCCTTTATTTCTAGCAAATACATATAGAATGTCAACACTAATATTTGGAACTAGGTTTTTAGTAAACATAGCCCTCCAAAGCATGAATTGCATTAGACTTGGAAGAAAGTAAACAAACAACAACAAAAAGGTCTCTAAATTCAAGAAACATGCAGGCATTATGCTCCTGTATCAAAACCAAGCACTCCACTGTGCTCTTTCAGGTGGGATTTCTTGACCTCTTCTATAGGATAGAAGGCTTTGCTGTCTGGTTCCTTAAACATTAACAGGATGTAAACAAATCACTGAAAATAGGAGAGATGACAATTAATACTGAGGATGGAGGCAAAAAGAAAAATGCAGATATAAAATGAATATAACAAATATTCATTATGAAGACCAAAACTCACAAAGAAAAGTGGCTAATTCTCTTCAAAATCTTTGTTTAGCATTATAAGAAAATATGTGGTACATTTTCAGAAAATTTTATTCTCAGAGTTAAAATTAGAAGGTTTTAATGCTTGAAAAGGCAATGTTCATTTATTTAAAATCTTCATCTTATATAGAACATCTGTCATAATCCAATGAAATTAGATACATGAGGAGTTAATAAAACAGAATTGGTTTTAATTTTCAGATTGGCAGAAAGAACAAAAAGAGCTTTAAAATGCTGATAGTAGATAGAAAGATTCAGCATACATTAAGATAATTAACCCTGCAAAAATAATTAGGATCAAGTCCTACTTCAAGGTGCATACATCCACGAATATGGGACAAGAGCCAAATGTAGGACAAACGAACACAAAGGCACTACCAAGGAATAAAATATTCTGTGTAATACTGAAATGTTTAAAGGTTAAGGCGTCATTTCTAGTAATGATATTTCCTGGACAAGATGGAATTTTAAGGTCTAAAAGAAGTTCAACATTGCTGAAGAGCACAAATTTTGGTGGGGGGAGGACTAAAAAATAAGGCTAAGAAGGTGAGTAAAGGCTGGGTCATAATGGACTTTATAAAATCATGTTAAGGAATTTGGATTTTATTCTCAGGACAATAGGAAGCTATTATAGGGCTTTAAATAGGGTATGTATGACTCAACATTCATTACAGAAGAAACACTGGCTACAGAGTAAAGGTTAGTTTGGATGGAAGCATAACTTTAAGAAGTAAGACCAATTACAGGCTCTTGTAGTAGTGCAAATGGGAGACAACATTGGATTAAATTAGGATGGTAGCAAGTAAGTTGGAAAAAAATAGATGAATCCAAGAAATGTGGGAGGTAGAAATGACAGATCTTGGTGACTGATTCAATCTGAAGAGAGAAAGGTAGAAAATTGGCAATAACAATTCCAAGTTTCTGGCTTGAGCAACTGGGTGCACGGTGGTGTCATTGACTGAAACAGGAAAAAATGGAAGAGGAATATGTTTTGTTTGTTTGCTGTTTGTTTTGTTTTGTTTGTTCTTTAAGGTGCAAGAGGGAGATGGAGATGATGACACTACCTTGGAACATGTTTTGTTGAAAGAATTTGTGAAATTGCCAAGTGGACATGTCCAATGGACAGTTGGATATAGAGTTCTGATACTTGAGAGAAGACAGAAATAGATACTGAGATGAGAGTCATTGACATTTATATAAGGTACCATCATAGGAATAATGAAATCACTCGGGGGTTTTATATGGTAAGAAGAGAGCCTAGAACAAAACAAAGAAAAACACTAACACCTGAGGGATGAACAAAGGAAGAGAAGACTACAAAAGATCTTTATACCACAAAGTCCTTTAATATAGCTGTGTATATCATGGAAAATATTGTAGAAAGCATAGCTATAAAAGTATGAAGAAAACCAGGTGTAGTATTTACTATTGGTACTATGTCCAAATCCCCTTTACTGGGCTGGTGAAACCATCCTCCAGCTACCTTGGAGAATTACCATCTGTTGAAGAGAACCACCTCACCCTAAAGTGCCCAGAAGGCTATGCCTTCTTTCTCCAGGAGACACACAGGCAAAGACTGATTGAGATGAGGGTACAAAAGCTTGGGCCCTTCACCTCAAGGTAGGACAAATCCATAGTACCACTTATGCTCCATGGCTTTCCATGGGGCAAACTGAGGCTATACTTCAAGTGAAATTGCACCTTTGCTTTACTTCTTCCCTTTCTCTATCTTGTTTCCCTTAATCCTTATAGGTTTCTCCTGAGAGAGTTCTCTCAATAAATCATTTGCTCAAAAATCCTATCTCGTTCCCTGCTTCTAGAGAACCTAATCTAAGTACCAAGGAGTTGTGGTGTCTTTGAAGTCAAAAAGAGAATTACTCCTAAATGTATAGTTATATTTTATGCATGTTTCTTTTTTTTTTTTTTTTTTTTCCTTTTTGTCTTTTTTCATGCCCGGCAACGGATCGCAACCCTCAGTGTCGCACCCGCACCAGACCGGGACCGGCAACGGGATCGCAACCCTCGGTGCTGCGCCCGCACCTCGCTCAGCCAGTGAGCCACCGGTCTGTATGTGGGATCCGAACCCTCGGCGGGAGCGCCGCTGTGCTCCCAAGCGGCGCACTGTAGCAGTGCGCCACCGGGCCAGCCCTTTATGCATGTTTCTATATGTATGTTTATTTTATAACAAAAAGGAATTAAGGAGGGAGAAGTCAAAAATGTTGAATATTGCTACATGCTACTAAAGAAATTGAGTAACATAAAGACATACAAATATTCATTTTAACAATAAGGCCAACACTGGTCATCTTGGTTACAGAAGTTGCCTTAAAATCATGGGGTTGGAAGACAGACAGCAAAAAGTAGAGTGAGAAGTAAGTAGAGACAATAAAGCAGATTCACTCCTTCAAGAAAACTGGCTGTGAAGGGGAGTAAAGACTTAAGGCACTATGTGGAAGGAAGATTTTTAAGTTTAAGATGGGAGATCCTCAATCACATTTAGATGCTAATGGGCCAGAGCCAATAAAAAAGGGACAAGCTGAAGACCTAAAAAAGAAGAGATAAAATTGGGAGCAAAAGGCTAGAGTTAACTGCCTTTAAGATACTACGGAGGGGATTCAAGTATGGGTTAGGGAGTTGCCCAAGACCTTTGAGATCTCTTTCCACTTTGTGAGTCTAAGCTGATGATTTTTTTTTCTTCAAAATACAGTGTAATGTATGAGTATCAGAGGCCAGAGTACTTGGATTCATCTGGGGAAAATTCTGAAGTTTTGGTCTGAGGCAAAAATTTATCATAGTCTTCTCTTGTTCCAGGAGTTAAAGTTCTTACCCGCCAATATCCTGCTTCACAAAATCCCCAGGTTCTTGTCGTCTTGATTCCCCTTGACCACTGGTTTCAGGGAGAATATTAATCAGGAAAAGAATCCCAAGGCTGGTCGTGTAGTAGTGACTCATTTGTGTGATTATCATCTTCTTAGGCACCAACTTAGGAGAGACCTGTTAGATCCATAGTTCAGAAGAAGGGGAAGGGAGAGAGGAGAAAGAGGTAAAGAAAAAAAAAAAAAGATTTTATTTAACTCTATTAGAGCCATTTAACTTCTCTAGTATCTAGTTACTCCATGCTTAATTTGACATTTCCCTTCCCCAGTTTATCAATGCCACCAAAATTCGCTCCCAACATATCCCTCTCCCAAATATATCACAGCCCATCCAAGAAAGAATGCATAGGGTAGTATAAAGAGCTCTAGATCAGTAATCAGGAGTCTAGGGTACAGTTCTTTCCCTTCCTTGTCTTCCCATATGACTAGGTGAGTCACACAACCTCCCTCAGCCTCAGTTACCTCTTATAATCCAAGATCTTAAAATAGTCTCTCATGTCTTCATTTTATTTGCCCCCATTCCCCCATTTGATATTTAGTGTCACAAAGGCTTTTGCCTTAGCTAACTGTACAATATTGTAAAAAAAAAAAAAAAAAAAAAAAAAAATTCTAGTATATTAAGACCTGGAGTCTCTTTATAGCATTTTTAGGATTGATTCTTATCTTGACAGAGTTAAGCAATTTTCCAAAAGATCAAAGGGCCTGAAATAGATAAGACTGTTTCCTCTGAATCAGGTTGAGAAATGCTGAATGATAAGACACCATGGCTCTTGAATAAGAATGCAATGTTTCCCATAAAGAGATATTTGAGGGGAAAAACCAACTCCTTTAGATAGAGTCCACAACATAAAGAAGAAATCCAAGCCTAGTCTCCTGGCACAGAAGTCCCTAAGAAGGCAGCAAATTGTACTGATGACAGAGTTAGTGATTTGGAGTTGCCTGTTTGCAAGGCTGTTTTATTAACTCCAGAAGGGTAGAGGTTTACCCAAACATGGGGTTAAGAAAGCAGCCAGTAAAATGACACTTACTTGTTATCTCTAAACTGTGTGGCTTCTTTGAATCTGAGATACTGACCATTTGAAGGAGACTTAACTCTGACCCAACATCATACGGCAGTTTCTTATGGTCAACCTAATATATGTGCTTGTGACATTCACAGGTCATGAGGAATATAAGAGTTGACAGACATTTTACAGGAATGGACAGGAACAGCTTGGTTCAGAAAACCATAGCATATGAGTAAAAACAAACATGGTGCATGATTAGATGACTCTGGGGCATGAGCAGCATCCCTGGTATGGGAAGTAACCATGATATTTGCTCAAACACCCACAGTGCTTTAGCAGACTCAGATGGTGTATCATCACATGACAAGGGTTAATGCTCAAATAATCATGAAATAATCATGACATTTGAATTTGCAACTACTCAACAGGAACAGGGAGACTTGGTACAGGATATAGAGTCCAAATTATAGAAACAATCCATGGAATATAAGACATAACAATGATGCATGCTCAGAAAATATGACTGCATGAGTAACAATCCTGGGTAACAGAGAAGACAACCACACTGCATAAACAAAGAAATCCAGAGTGCATGTTCAACTATGCTATTCTAGTACATAACTAAAGGTTATATTCAAATTATCATGGTAAACAAAGCTAACTGTCACACTAGAATAAATAGCAATGGCACAGAAGTAAATGCCCATGATTTGGGAGGAGGAAACTATGGTGTAAAGTATGATGCATAAAAGGACAACAATGTTATGTGATATTGTAACTAAAGCACATATTCAAATAACCATTATGAATTAGAAGACAACCATCATATATATAGAAGAGTAGACCCTCTAACAACCATAGCATTTTGTTAGCAAACATCGTTATTACAGTGCATGAGAAAACATTTATGGAACAAAGCCATTTGGCCATGGTATTTGTCAGAAAACCATAGTACACGAGCCTAATAATCACAAAACAAGAGAAGAGGGCTTTAGTACACATTCCATTTAAAAACGTGCTGCTGGACAGTTGCACAATAATGTGAATATAGTTAACACTACTGAACAGTACACTTAAAAATGGTTAAGATGGTCCATTTTATGTTATGTGTTTTTTACGATGAATAGAAAAAAAATATTTAAAAAGCATGTTGCTGGAACAGGTAGTCTTGGCAAATTAGCAAATATTCACAGAAAAGAACCCGCACCTGGTATATGTGCAGAGAAATGTGGCACATTAGCATTTATTAGTATTAAATAAACATGCATCCATGGTACATGCTCAGACAACCATCAAATAAATGCATACAGGACTTTAGGAGGACAGGCACCCAAAATACCTCCTATGACAAACAGTGATTTTTCAAGTGACTATAGTGTACAAACTGAAAGCCATGACAGTAAAACAGGGAGCATTCAAACATGATCAAGTACCCATGTAGCTGGAAACAACTATGCTTATACTTAGACAACCATGATGCATGTGAAGAGGTATTTGGTATAAAAATCCTTAGTCTTGATGTATGCACATGCTATGTATGCATCATGGCAACCATGATACAGGAGTTAAATGACATGGTTTAGGAACACATGGCCGTGCTGTAGGACTAGACTGCCATGATGCAGAAACAGAAGGTCACGGTCCATAATTAAGCAGACATGGTCAAAAAATTTTAACTGGAGCGGAGAGGTAAGATATAGATGCAAATGGCCATAGTGAAAAATTGATATATGTATAAGTACAAAAATATAGTGCACACATCCATGGTGAATAAATTGAAAATTACAGAAAAGGAACATCACATAATGATATTGATATTCAAAAAACTATGATGCATGAGTAGAAAGTACAACCTAATACTGCTTTTAAAGTTGGCATAAGGAAGCCATGCCACATTTCAAAAGTAGACAACCTGGTGTGTGCTCATATATGTACAGTGCATGGAGAAAACACCAATGTCCTATGAGTTTGCAATCAACCATGGCACAATAGCAGATGCCTGTGGTAGAAGCAGATTGGCTATGAAACAGGAGGAGACAACCCTTGTGCAGGCTCAGATAATTATGGTGTTCGAATGAATTACACATGATATATGAACACGTAATCATGACACATGCTCAGGCCATCATAATATGTGATTATGTAACGACAATACAAGGAACAAAGGGAGAAAAATACCAAATATATGCTGATAACTTGTAAACTAATATTTCTATTCCAGATCTCTCCTGGAACCCATATTCGTACCTAGATATGGGTTCCAGGAGAGAACCCATATGTTAAACTCATATCTTAACCCATGGGTTAAACCTAAACCCATGTTAACTTTAAGATGCCTCTCAGACATCTAGGTACAGAGATCTCTGAGAGGCATCTTAAACCTAACATGTTTAAATCTGAGGTTCAGATATCTACACCACACACGTACATAGACCTGTTCCTCCTGCAGTCTTTCCCATCTCAAGTAACAGTAACTCCACACTTCCCTTTGCTCACAGTGAAAACTCTGATGTCATTCTTAACTCCTCACAATCCAGTCTTTCAGTAAGTCGCATTGGCATTTCAATCAGAGGAAACATATCCACATAAAACCACTGGTCATCACCTCTGCTGCGACCACTCTGGCTCATCATCTGTTTTAAAATCATTGTGAAAGCCTAAATGGTCTTGCTGCCTCTGCCCTTGCTCCCCTGCAGTCTGTTCTCCATACAGCAGCCAGAGTGAACTTTTGAAGTGTTCAGTCAGCTCACGTCTCTTCTATGCTCAAAATCCTCCCATTTCTTCCCATTTCAAAAGCCTCACTTAGCATTTTTTAAAGAATACAATATATTATTAACTATAGACACCATATTGCACAATGGAGCTCTTGAAATCATCCTTTGGCCAAAATCTCCCCAACAACCCTTAATCATCCCTGCCCCTGCTAACCACCATTCTACTCTATACTTCTATGAGATCAACTTTTTTTTGATTCCACAAATGAGATCATGCAGTTTTTGCCTTTCTGTGCCTGGCTTATTTTCTTTTCTTTTTTTTTTTTTTTTGTCCTTTTTTCGTGACTGGTAAGGGGCTAGCAACCCTTGGTGTGGTGTCGCCCACACCGCGCTCAGCCAGTGAGCGCACCGACCATTCCTATATAGGATCCGAACCCTCGGCGGGAGCATCGCTGCACTCCCAGTGCCGCACTCTCCCGAGTGCGTCACGGGGCAGCCCTCTGGCTTATTTTCTTAACATAATGTCCTCCAGGTTCATTCATGTTGTTGCATATGAGAGGATTCCTTCTTTTTATGGCCAAATAGTGTTCCATTGTATGCATGTGTGTGTGCGTGTGTGTGTGCATGTGTGTGCGCGCGCGTGTGTGTGTGCGTGCGTGTGCGTGTGTGTGCATGTGTGCGTGTGTGTGCATGCGTGCGTGTGTGTGTGTGTGTGTGTGTGTGTATACCATATTTTCTTTATTCATTCATCCATTAACGGACACTTAGGTTGATTCCATATCTTGGCTTTTCTCAATAATGCTGCAATGAACACAGTAGTAAAGATATCTCTTTGACATACTGATTTCATATTCTTTGGAGATATATACTCAGTAGTAAGACTGGTAAATCATATCGTGGTTCTATTTTTAATTTTTGAGGAATCTTCATACTGTTTTCCATAATGGCTGTTTCATTACTTTCTCACAGTGTCCTTTTCTCCCTTTTCTCCACATCCTCGCCAACACTTGTTATCTTTTGTCTCTTTGATAATAGCCATTCCAACAGGTGTGAGGTAATATCTCCTTGTGGTTTTAATTTGAATTTCTCTGATAATTAGAGATATTCAGCATGTTTTCGTATACCTGTTGGCCATTTGTATGTCTCACCACAGAAACAATAACTAAGTGAGGTAATGCATATGTTAACTAGTAATTCCACAATATGTATATACTTCAAAACATCATGTTGTACATAGTAAATACATAAAATTTTATCTGTCAATTTAAATAAATAAATAAAAATTTAAAAACCTCACTGTGATCTACAAGGACCTAAGTGAGCTAATCCCCAAATAACTGGCTAACTACATCCCCTACTACCCTCCCCTCTCACCCACTCCACTCAAGCCACTGTGG